ATTGTATTCATGCATATTTTTGGAATTGGGCCTAAATTAAAAACTCTAATTTACTATTTGATTAATTCAAATTTTTATATGTTAACAAAATGACACATTTATTAAATTGCACTTCAAATCAATAAAATCAATATAATTTTTACATCAAACTCATCTCTTTTTTTATTATTAAATATCTATCCTCTTTTACTATTATTAAAATTTAACTTTAAAATTAATCTTAATATTTAAGTAGTAATTATATTTATAGTTAGACTTGCATCAAATAGTCTATCACATACTACATCATAAATTTAGGGTAGTGTAAAAAGTTGTACTCATAATATCTTTATCATGATGTAATATTAGTACAATTCACAATTTCACATTATTATTTATAGCAAAACAGGTAAAGCTTCGTATTAATGATAAGAAATTATTAGTGTTTATTTTGTAGTCTTTAAACATAATTTATTATTTTGTAGTATTATATTAGTACAAATTTTTGAATAAGATTTTTAGATTTTGTATAAATTTTATTATTTCAATCTTTTTAGCATACCATATATTCCCGAAAATAAGCTACCCTCTCTTTTCTTGGAGGAGGAACATAAGAAACTTTTTTATTCCAAAAATAAGCTACCCCTGATAATTTTTTAAAATCTAGAAGTAGTTTCTATACATAAAAGTCAAAATTCTACTAAGTAAATCGATAAAAATCACTTAATAGAAGTTGTCTAGAATGTAAAAATACACATATTTTAAAAGTTTCAAGCAAATTGGAGAACTTTTTACTAAGATGTTTTTGCATTTTATATTTGAATATAAATGCAAAAACATCTTAATAAAAGTTCTCTGATTTGCTTGAAACTTTTAAAATATGTGTATTTTTACATTTTGAACAACTCCTATTAAGTGATTTTATCAATTTACTTAGTAGAATTTTGATTTTTATATGTAGAAACTACTTTTGAATTTTAAAAAATAACAAAAAATCAATTTTTCGAAATTGTACCCAAAAATAAGCTACTTCGGAAATTTTCATATAATTTTTGGCCCAAAAAAGGTAGCTTATTTTCGGGAATATATGGTATTAAGTAGCTAAATTTTTTGCTTTATTTTTTATCACAATTAAGTAGCTAATTCCTAGCCTTATTGTTTTTTTAATTTATTTTATTTCCAATTAGCTATCATTTATTGCATCTCATTACAATATATTATATACTATACTATTTATTCATCATTTATTAAACTAAAAAAATTTGCTACTATTCTAGTTAAATAGTACTGGAGTTATTAACACAAATTCAATTGGGTCCCAAGGTCTGATAAAGAATTGATTTAATCTTTAATATCTTATAAATGTAGTTAGATTTAATAACTTAGATACTATTTGATAATTTAACAAGATAATTTGAATAGTACCAAAATTGCCAAAATTTAATCACACATTTATGAGATATCAAGAATGAATTAAATTCTTATTAGGAACTTGGGTCCCAATGAATTTAAATTAATCTATCTTCATTAACTTAATTTTAATTGTTCCAATTGAGAAACTCATAAAGATAATATAAGTGTAGTGTAATATAAATTTTGAAGAGTTTATTTAAACAGAATGATATGGCTCTAATAGCTACTTTAAAAAAATCTTGATTTTTTAAAAATATAAACTGCATATATCTAATATATAATAAAAGTTTTACTAAGCTTTGTTAACTCTCTTGTAAGAAACTTATTAATATTATAAATATATTATAAACATATTAGAAATAGTTTATTCATCCACCTTAAATATTAAAAAAAAAATAAATAAAAAATAGTTTATTCATCATCAAGATGAATTATTAACTTATACAATCAGAATATATCATGGTAGCTATGGTACCTAGGTCCAGTTCAGGTCTGTTTAGGTTTGATTAAACCTCAAACCCAAACCAAACCCAAACAACAAAATTTACTAATTTCAAACCTGAGCCCAAACTCAAACCTATAATATTCAAACACAAACCAAACTCAAACAAAATTATTAGTTTGGCTCAGGTTTGGTTTGTAGTTTGCAAACAAGTTTGAGTTTGAAAAGGTTAAGTATAAAATATAATTATACTGTATATAATTTAGATTGTTGCTCAATGTTAGTTCCTTGACAAGACGTTTATCTGACATTATAGGGTTTTGATTAGCATTTGATTAGTTGTGCCTATATATTTTTAGCAGATTGTTAAGCTATATGATGTTGAGTAAGTTTCCTATTAAAAAATAACTTTTGAGAAATCATGCTATAACCACAATTTTAATCGACAAAACAAAATATATTAAAAATGTGTTTGAAATTAAGTTTTAGGTCAGACAAGCTTGTTATTAAGATAAGTAACATATGGAATGCGTAGTTCATTACATCAAAGAGAACTTTTTAAATAAAGAAAAACAGATAACAAGTTTATTAATTTAGTTAAAAATCTTTTGACCTGAGTCTTTTTTTTTTTGAATGTCTTATCAAAACTCTATAACTTTTAAAGTTATTGTTCAAGTATTTTTATACTTTTATTATGATTCTAATTGTTAAGACACTACTATTGCTTTTTTTTTTTTATAAACGCTTTTGATATAATATAGAACTATGGCCTCCGTATATTAAGAGCCACGTGTATGATCAATTTTATGAAGAAAATTGGCATTCGAAATATGTAGCATATGGGTTACAATAAACAAAAGCCTAGAATGAGAGAAGGGATTATACAAGAAAAAAAAAAGAATAATACTTATCACTTTGAGTTAGCTTCACGTAAGAGTTCAAGTTGTATTCTCTTGATTATGTAATCAGAACAATCGGAGGGTGATATAAAAAAGTGTATTTGAGTTAAATAAAGGAAATATAAAAAAAAAATCTATTATTTCTTTTTATTCTTTAAAACTCTTACTTTCTTTCATGTTAATTACACATGGCTCTTAATATAATGGAGGCCATAGTTCTAGTTCTTGCTCTATTATATCAAAAGCTCAGTAATAACAAAATCTCATGATATATCAGATATTATAGTAAATCATAATTTGGTTCTATTATAATTCTTCATATTAAATCGATGGTCCATTATATCGAAGCTACATATATAACACACTTGGGTTTGTTGTCTGCACTCGTGGTCAGTAAATGCCGTGAGAATTATTATACTTTTTTAGAAGTTCAAAGTTATGTTGTCTCAAAGTATGTGGAACTTAAACGACTAATTTTTTATTCATTAACACACCGAAGTAAGTAATGTTGCATAACAATGATAGTATACCATATTGTATGGATCTATGGACCTACTAATTTTTCCCACCACTCCACTATCAGAGTACTATAAAATTGATTAATAACATAGTACTTCGATATATGAATAATTAGTAGAACCAATCAGAAGTGGTGAGAATTAGTAAACCCATGGATCTATATAGTATTATGATTTAAAAGGCAATTTACAAAGAGAATCTTATATTTATTTTGATGTAATGATCAAGTTAAAGTCTTCTGTTAGATAATTACAAAACCTTAATTTACAGTCCTGTCAATTTAAGTTTGTCAATTCAAGTTTATAACACGATGTGAACGAATAGAAATTATCTAGCACTTTTAAGTAATGAATTATACAAGGAAATATTTTAAAAGGTTCTATTTTTATAACCAATAGGCACTATTTATTTATTTATTTATATATTTTTTTGAACAAGTTAATAGCTAAAAAATTCCAAGAATATATATAAAAATCAGTTTTCACATGAATAATAAATAGAGTTTTTTGAGTCTTTAATTATGAATACTTGTTTGCTATAAAAACAGAGATTCTTTAAAATATGTCCTATAAATTGTCTGTTGAAAATATTAATTAATTTTATTCATTCTTATCATGTTGAAAACTTGAATCAAAGGATTGTAAACTAAGGATTAGATTTTTTTTTTTACATTTTATATTAATAGCAATGTAAATACAGTATGAATAGTGGTAATATGCTTTTTCATATTTTTAGTCAATATATGGATCTATATGGTGGTATGACTTAGAAGTAGAGTTCTGCATGGGCTGGGCTGGGCTAGATATTTCAAAGTCCAGATCCAGTACGACAAAATATGTACCAAATATTTGAATCCAAGCCTAGCCCTTATTTGGTTAGATGAATCCAAGCCCAGCCCAATCCATGGATGCCATGCAGAACCTTACTTAAAAGGTAAGATCTTATAGCAACAATCAGGTTAGAGTCTGCTTGTCGGATAATTATAAAACCTAATCATACCAATTCAAGTTTGTCTAAATTTCTAACATGATAAGAATGAATAATTTATCATAGATAGACTATCGTGAATGTGCGTATGCAAGGCCTGGGTCTTTTTATTACACTATTTTAAACCCTCAGTCTAGTTATGCTGAGAGGTTATTTCATAAAAGGAAAAATTCAAAATGCATACACAATCTATTTAGCTATTTTTAGGTGATCTTGTATACGCACACTTATGGTTTTTTTTTGAACAAGTGAAAGTATATAAAAAACGTTTTTCATATGAAAGATAAATAAGGTTTTTGAGCCCTTAAATTCATTATAATAAAGAATACCTGTTTGCTATAAAAAACAAAAGCTCTTTAAGATAATTTATACAAATCATTTTATTCGTTCTTAACACGTTGAAAACTTGAATCGACTGGATTGTAAAATTAAGAATATTATGAAATAAGGTTTTCTTATAATCTCAAATATAATTTCGCAAACATAAAGTGCACTTTTTTATAACCTCCTTGATATAAAATAAGATAAAGCATTCATTTTGTAAAAATTTGTCCTTACCCTTTGTATCCTAAAGATAAATCACTTTCTCAAAATTATAATCTCCAAAATGAGCTCTTTGTTAATGCATTCAGAAATTGTTCCAAGTTACAATAATAATAATCAAGATAGTGATTATGATAGTAACCAAGATAATAATTATGACAGTATCGACACAAACAAAGTAGCACAAGTGAAGTGTGGGGCTTCTTTGAAAAGTCTATATGGCAAAAGAGCAAAAAACAGCCAAATGTACAATATCGAATTGTGCACACAAGGAATTTTCATGTGGAAACGGTAGCTTAACCAAACCATTATGGTGTTACTTGGAGAAAGCTCATTGGGCACAGTATATTTTTTACAACAGAAGATTATCGCAAAAAAAAGAAGAAGATACAGAATAAAAGTGGTACTATTGAAGGATTCTTTAAAAAAGTAAGTTCTTATTTTTTTATTTTATTTCAATTTTTTCAATC